ATAGCAAAACATCACAAAAAATTCACAAAAATAGTAAATAAAATAGCTAACCTAATAGACCAATCTTTTAGCAACAAAATGAATCTTTGTACAGAGTCTGGTATACCTTGGACGAAGAGTTACAGTCCCACAAAAAACGAGAGCTGTACAGGGCGCCATTTTCGCGGCAAACACACATCGAACTGTGAAAAGTGGCGCACGTGATCCAGTTTCCAATCCTCCCCTCGTTCCATTATCTATGCTTTAAAGTTGCTTTTCAGCAGTTAGTAGTGGACAGCTTTGATATCTGATATCCTTGTTTTAAATTATTTGTAAATTTTTTGAATAATTCATAATTTGTTTCTAAGAAAGCTAATAATTGTCGATATCATGTGTAGTTTTATTTCTTGGAAAGCATCTGCATGCATAATAGCAAATTTCTGAAATATTTAGGCTGGTCGATGATATCAGTCAGTAAATATGTAGAGCTATGCATACATATTATTTACTGATATGCTTTTCATACAAATTAAACGGATCATTGATTCCTTGTAGTCCAAGATATGGAGAATGAGATGATGAGTATTGAGGATGAGTCCTGCTCCTGGTAAAATTAAGACAATATTAATTGTACCCTGAACTAACATGAAGCCTGCAAAAAGCCAAGTACTATTATTTCTGTGGCTCCAAAATTTGACAAAACACCCTTTACTATAGTACAGTGTACATGTATTTCATCAAGAGTTGTTAAGAGAGAATTTTCTATTTTATTACATTTTTTGATGCATATACATGTACAATTTTATGCTGTGTAGAAAGTTTTGTGAAGTTGCGTACAATCTAGTCTAGCTGCATGTGTATACTTGCATGGTATAGCTGCATGGTATTTATGAAGTGACTGTTTCTAACTATCTTTAAAAGACTAAGTCTCTTAAGAAGTAACTTAAACTGTGTAAACTTAATTCTGAGCTACTTTGCACAATCATTGACACTGTTGAAATTTCATTACCATTCTTACCCAAGTCATACTAGACTCTATACAGTAATTGTGTTTGTATAGTGTTTTGTTTTTGCTGATTTTGTCCTCTTACTTTAAGTCTAACACAATCCTGAATATGAAATCTCTTAGAAATTAAATTGTTATGTCAACAAACACTCAGGAAGAAAACCTACAAATCCACTTCCTGAAATTTCTGTGTCAGCATTAATGCTTCTGCCATGGCTTCTATTTAAACTCATTTAGTTTTGTTTTCTTCAGATCTCCAGCTCACTCTCATCTCATCTCCTTTCTTCCTTTTTATTGTTTTTCCTACTTTATAGGCTGCAGCTAATATCATAAGATGATTTCTGGTTTTTCCACTGTTGCTGCTGCAGTTGTCATTCTATTGTGCATCACTGATCAATGCACAGCTCAAGATACTGACTGCTCTGCTCTGGCCACTGATGGTGACTGCAGTTTTTATAATTGCTTGGATACTAAATTCCGTTGCAATGACAAGGACTATCCTCTTCGCCGTGGTGAACCTGACTGTCAGAAATACATCAGTGAATCGAATTGCTTCACAAAATCAGTAAATATACACTGATTGCATTGGTGTGTGCCCTACAACCTACTATATTATAGTATTCAACTTTATTGAAAGTAACCTAGGGGTTAGTTGATGTACTCTCAAATAGAATTTCAGGCATCAGAGTTGTCGCTAGTAGATAACATTGGAGACAACTATACATATAGTGGTAGGCAGCTTTGATAACTTGTTGTAAATTGATCTCCAATATCCTAAATTTTAATGGTAAAATCCTTGATTGTCTTCACTGCATGTCATTTTAAGAAAGCAATCTGTCATGATGAAATCTTATATATTTTATATTGGGCAATTATGGCAAAATTCATACCTCAATGAAATAGTTTGCAAATGAATAATTAACATACGTATCATAGTAGAGCTGTAAATCAACATAATTATTGTGATTGTCACTGTGTATGCTTCTACCAAAGCAATCTAATAATACAATATTATCTTAGGGTCAAGCATGGCTTTCTAGGGTTCGTAGATGTTTGATGCAGGCTATTGTCAACAGTCCTCTCTATAATGATGAAAGTGCTACTTGTGACCAGTTGGCAACATTTGCCATTGCAAGTCGTTCTAAATGTTACATTGATAATGGGTTCTGTACAGCTATATTCTTATCACCTCAATGTCAGAACCTTAATTGTATTCGAAATAGAATTTATCCTGGTACAAAAAGTTGGAGTAAGCAGTCAATAGATCAGGTAAGAGAGTTCTAGTTATAGTAATAATAATTTTTATTATCATTATTATTATTATTTTACTCTTATAGATTATAAAGACAACTGAGTCTTGCCCTTCCCAGATTTCTACATTCCTTACTGATGCTCAGCAGTGCAATTTGGATAGTCCAGACAGTGCTCTTCCAGCTGCTATACATGATCATTTAGGTACAGTATGTACTTCAGTACTGTGTAAAATTATGCTATTCTCCTCTTTGTACAGATTGTACTGCAAGGGCTTTTGATTTTATTATTTTATTGGATGCATCTGGAAGTGTTGGGGCTGATAACTTTGAGATAATGAAAAACTTTGTTGCAAACATGCTGTCTAACTTTACCATTGGACCAGATGACACTCGTGTTGGAGTCATTAGTTTTGCTAGCAGTCCATCAATTGTTATCCCATTGGGTTCCATTAATACTTATTCACCAATTGGCTACTGCTGTTAGAGGTATAACATACACTGAAGGAGGTACAAATACTGCTGCAGCATTGGATTTACTAAGTACAGCATTTGCTACTGCTCG